GCCCTTTTTGTATTCTGATGGTGGTGGGTTAATCCTATTATGTCCTAAAGGTCATGTTCTGTTTCTCTGTGGCTGTGGCTGATGGTTTACTTCCTGTGTTGGATTTCTTGGGCGAGGGGTTGATGATTCTAGGATTTTTGTCTTTCTAATCCCATCAGCTCCAGCCTTCCTGCCAACCTTTCTGAATAGGATTATCAAATCTGCATTTCTAAAAGCTGGTTTGCTTGGTTTCTGCTTGAGGGAGGGAGACTTTGGGCTGTCTTTGCCTAAGATTTTTCATTATTCCTTTTGGGAAATGTAATATTCTGTCCTTTTTAATATCCCCCCAAAATATTTCCTTTTCTAGGAGGGTGGGTGGGTACTGACTTCCAACACTACCAAATGCCACTATTCAGTGTGGCCTAGACTGGGGAAGGAAAGAGAAAATTGTTTCTCTTCGGTGGGGGAGGGGAGCATGCATGACACTCCAGGAGAGTCAAGTTAAATAGACATAGTCCCAATTTTTGACATGCCAAGCCAAAAGATTTGCAATCCGTGTTCTAGCACAGGAGTCCCCAACCTATAGTCCAAGGATTGGTACCGGAATAGCTGTCGAGTCCCGCCCCACTCGCGATAGCACCGCCGCTCAGGCACTACCAAGGTTTTTCAGAAGTGGCTTGCCATTGTCTCCTTCCTAGAGAAAGTGACTGGCCCAAAGTCACCCAGCTAACTTCATGTCCAAGGTGGGACTAGAACTCAAGACCTCCCGGTTAGTAGTCTGATGCCTTAACCACTGCACCAAACCGATACTTGGTGCCACCACTGATATTAGGCACTGCACCTAACATCCCACAGTAACACCCAAGCCTGTGTAATCTTTTTGTCAGTGCCACATTCTCCTGGCAAAATCAGTTTGGACAAGCAATATTTGGACTTCTGAGCTGCCAATAGAGGCTGTATCCTGTAAATTAGGTCATCAATCGTTTCTTACTACTCAAGTCTACACCAATAGATGATTTCTAGTCATTAGCCTCTTATTCACACAGTTCTAAAATGGCTTCTCA